AAACCTGCTCTAAATCATGCATACTCAACGCATTAATCATATTTTATTCTGGTAAAACAATAGGGTACAAAACAAATATCGGTATCCGCAGATGTGTATCCATATACTTCTCATACGAACATGGATACCCAAATATCTATATCTAATAAGATACGGACACATATACAATAAGGGATGAGATATCTGAGTACTTGTTGATCATACAATAATAATTGTTTTGACCACTAGATTGATGGATGTGAGATTAATTTTGATGATCTAAAGATCTAATCTTAGCTTTTATCACAACGTATCATCTTTTTCTCATATCCGATTTGTATCATTATACGTTTTCTCTTATTTTATCCATATTCATATTCAATTTTGACGGTTACGGATGATTTTCCTTACCAAGACAATATTTGTATCCGTCTCTGTATCCATAATTAGTAAGCAAGTACGAATATTGTAAGCATCGTATACAACTAGTATCGGACTATTTGCATCCGTAGACATTAGTGATCTTTGTGTTATGTGAAGAGCTCATATGTTACAGAAAAATATCCCTTGTACTACGATAAATAAGTCATTTATTACCTCGTAAACTTTTCTATCGGGTACTCGCATCATCGACATTCAGATGTCATTAGTCTTTTGCCCTCAGTTTAGAGGACAATTCAGTCTTGTTTTGATTAAACTAAGAGTCTATTTAATAAACTCCTCCAAACTGAAAAGCTAGGATTGACCCTAGCTCGGTTTTGAAGTAAACTGGTTCTTTTCTTAAGCCAAGAGAGGGTGAATCAAGAAAGAACCTATTTAAGGGGCGTTTGTTTGCAAAAGAGGCTTGGTGAAAGCCTGACGAAAACCACTGTTTTTGTCAGCTTTCAGCCCAAAACGCCTCTTAAAGATGCGTTTTAGGCTGAAAGCTCAGGAAAACAGTAGTTTTTGTCAGGCTTTCACCAAGCCTCTTTTGCAACCAAACGGACCCTAAGCTTTGGGCTTAGAAAAAAGAAATAGCCCAGAGTTGGCCCAGTTTTTGCCAATAAAGAACTTATCCAAAAAACATGGCCTATTTCAAGGATTTGTTAAACATTATCATCATGTGGTTCTCATATTATGTCTCAAACTAGCATCAGAAATAATGCAGCACAAAGTTTAGGGGACATAAGTGCTAATAAAATAGTTTATGATTACGAAGTATAAATGGTTTATGATTACACAATTCACTTTCAATTATTTTGGGGAGAAGTGAAAGCTGAGAAGCCGCTTGATTACATGAAAAAACTTAAAAGAAGCATTTAAAAAAAAAGGTTTAGAAAAGAGAATACATCCTACTTGAAGAGCATCGCAACTAATCATCAGTAGGGTTATCAGGATTGTTGCGTTGAGAGGAAGTAAGTGCTGCGATCACATCAGCTATAAAGGGAGGCAGTTACCCCCTCAAATCATGCATATTTAAAAAACTACCCCAAACCATCAACTTCGGAAAAAGAAAATAGAAACACCACCAAAATCAACAATCATCAACTTTGTTGGTAACGAAAAAGTAAAAGTTTGACTATTTACTTATACATTGCAGTTACAAATTAACACATCAAAGTTGATGATTTGGGGGTATTTTTTTCCCCATAGCTGATGATGTTGGAGTAGCTTTGCAAGTATTGCGATTTAGGGGCAGTTTTTCAAATACGCATGTTTAAGGGGTTTATATATAGAGAAAACCCTAAAATATATATGCATGTGCAGTCAGATGAACTAAGAACCAGACTTCGCCTGTCTGAAAATGAAATTTTGGCAGGAATCTAATTTGATACCCAATACTAAAAATTTGTGAAACAACCATTAAGTCCACCATAAAGACATCATACACTTCTACACACCACATTCATTTCATTTCTTTCCCCAAAAACCATAGCAATAGAAAAAAAAATGCGATAAATATAGGACCCAAAACCACATGTACAAGAACCAAAAATGGCAAACTTTCCTAAGACTAACCTTTTTTTTTCCCTTCATCAAGAGTTATCAGGATTGTAGTTTTGAGAGGCGAGGTAAGTGAGGGCTGTGACCACATCAGCTATAAGAGGACGCAATGAGGGCTGCTCGTGAACGCACATTGCAGCAACGGCAAGCGCTTGGTATAAGCCTCTTGAAGGGTATCGACCTTCAAGGGCTGGATCGGCCATTTGAGGGAACTTTCTTCTGTCTTTGAAAAGAGGGCGAGCCTGAAATCAAAAATGAATATCGTTGAGGCGGATTCAGAATGCTGTAGAAAAACAATGGTTAAGTGCCAGCTACATCAACTGTACAACTAGGTAGAGCTATTTATAGGAATCAAAGTCAGACTGGCCCCTAACGTTTATCTGACATTTCTTAATTGTTAAACCCTTGGTTCTCCGCCCTAAACATAGCCAAAAATACTATTCTGTCAAGGGTAAAGTGGGAATATTTCTGGAAGAGGAACTACCATGGAGGCTAAATTGATTGGGAACAACTATGGCTCAATGGGTTAAAATATTAGTTAAGGACTAATTAAAAAATTATCGATAGAGGCTGATCTGACTTTGAGCTCCTGCTTATACCCTCAACTATTCATCAGCACTTACTCCCGCTGAACTTCAGATGGTGGTAACTTTTGGCCCAAGTTTACAGATATATTCAATCTTTTTTAGTTAAAAATCAGGGGCAAAAAGGTATTTATCGTCGCATGCGGTTCCCACGGGACATCCCAACCTAATGGAAGAAATATGAGGTGTGAGGTTCAAGGGTATAAGTGCTAATAAAATAATTAGGGGTGTAAACGGTTACATCCCCTTAGTACAAGGAATGTATTTGCAGTTAACCCTAAAAGGAAATTATTTTCTGCATAGAAGTTTTCTCCCTCGGCCAAAAGGACAGATAATCATCTTGGGAACAATAATTGCCAATGACAAGCCCTAGTTGAAAATCCCAAGCGCAAACAATAACATAGTATCTTGGAGTAACAATCTTAGATTTTATTAGCATACTAGTATGATTAGCTTTTCATTGTGATCTTTATTACTTGTATGGTTGTATATGATATATAAAGGTGGATACAGGTGAAGTTGATTGCACGAGCCAACGATAATTAAAATAAACAAATGAGGGTAAAAAGGGTGGGAAAGGAAGTGAATAAGGACCTGCAATTTGTCTTTCTCTTCATGGGAACGTCAAGACTGCATACTTTGCTAGGTAAGGTTCAGAAATGTAAACTTCAAGCAAGAATTGAACCTTATTTTTAAAGAGCATCCTTTACGATATGAGGATAATCTAATTAGAAAACCGCATAATTAAGCAAAATTCTTACCCATGCAACTAAATTTTGCTCTCCGCCAGATCTTGAATTATCAATGGCCTTTCTTCCAGTAATAATCTCCAAAAGAACAACCCCAAAACTATAGACATCTGATTTTAGTGTCAATTGCCCGGTCATAGCATATTCAGGTGCACAATATCCATAAGTACCCATCACTCGAGTGGAAACATGAGTGTTATCACCAACAGGACCGAGCTTTGCCAATCCGAAGTCAGACAACTTTGGATGAAACCCCTCTCCAAGCAAAATGTTGGAGCATTTCAAATCACGATATATAACTGGTGGGTTCGCTTTGTCGTGCAAATATTCTAATCCTTTAGCTGCACCAGCAGCTATTTTCATTCTTGTGTTCCAGTCAAGTCGTCTCCTATCTGCAGCAAGATCTGCCATAACCAACACAATCAGATGAATAAAACTTTGGTGTTTCACAAAACCCCCGAAGTTTGGGGGTTACAACCCCCTCCCTCCCCTGAAACTTTATAGATCATAGAAAATTCCCCTGAACTTGTCTAACTTAAGTAACTCCATGACCGACAACATCTACATTTAAGTTGTTATGTGCTCTGCATGTGATAACTTTAGATACAAAACTTCAAATAAATTTAGTAACACTGAACAATTACTTAAAAAAGACTATTGCATGTGGATGTTGTGCTAAGTAATTAAATTATAACATACCATGGAGATGATCTTCCAATGATCCTAATGGCATGTATTCATAAACCAAGAGCCTTTGATCTCCATCGGCACAATAACCAATTAGGTTAACAAGGTTAGGATGGTGAAGTAGACTCAACATCAAAACTTCAACCAGGAATTCCCGGTTTCCTTGCAACCCATTACGATCAAGCTGCTTAATAGCCACTATCTACAGACAAAAGCACAACAAACAATGAATAATTCATGTCATGGTCATAACATAACATAATGAGCTACGTAACATCTTGCACATATTACAAGTCTCTAGCTTTTAAAAAAAAATCTCTGAAATTGAGAATGCAATATAACAAGCCTTTTCCTTGAAATGTTGAATTTAAGGAAAAAGAAACCTATCAAATATATGTACCCACTGATGGACTTAAAAGAAATGACTAGAAATTACTATTGGGTTCAAAGAAACTGAAATTTGTGAACCATATTCATGATTTAATTGGTCATTAAACGCAAAAGTATTAACCAAAGCCACAAACATTGACAAGACTCGCCAAATTACCTGGTTGACACTCTCCAATTTGCCCTTATAAACTCGGCCAAATCCTCCCTCTCCCACGAGGCAATTGGCTCTGAAATTTTGAGTTGCTGTAGCCAATTCACGAAAAGTAAAAGTCTGGGCAGAAATGTGTGTAGACCGTCTATTTAAATTTTCCTTTGTGATCTCTTTCTTAGGATCTATTGAATTCTGCTTCTTTAAATCCGATGCTGGGGCTGGCTTCAGCTTTTCTGCTAACCAAAATAAGACAGATTTCAAATAAAAAAAACAAACAATAAGACACAACATCAAATAAAGTGATGTATAGTTATACATTTTTAGCTCCCTCATAAGAAATAACCAACACTTAGCTAGCAAAATAGAACCGACGAACATGAATTCGAAAGGATATAATAATAATAATACATTCTAATTAGCTCTCTCAAAGAAATAATACATTCTTAGCTTGCAAAATGAATCAAGGAACATTACAATGCTCATTATTATGAAAATAGAATAGAACTCTGAATAACATACCCTCTTAGATCCCACGAATTACTTATTTAGAAGTCCTGAATTCAGTAGTACATGTAAGTGATGAACAAATCATAAAATTATTTTACCATATATCACCATAACATCTGGTTTCCCTTTGATTGAGCTATTGCAAATGCATAATGCCCATCTGACACTCATTTAAAAAGAAAAACAAAATAAATTAAAACCCCAAAGAAGTAACCTTTAGTTGAAAATGAAAGTTCTGATGCTAAGACTAACAAAATTGCGGCTCAACCCGCATCAAAGTCCCAACTTTATTCACGTTTCACGTCCTAAACAGCCTAAAGCAATCTCAATCAAACGCAAACAAGCAATGAACGACACGCATCCAGATCAAGCAATTACTGCAACAAGATCAAAACTTTCATCTCAAATCCGTTTCCATACGGTCAAAACTAAATGACCCACAAGAGACAATCACCAATTGAATCGATTTAAAGATCACCCATATGAAAAAAGGAGCAATAAACATCAAAATACCTTGAGATAGAGCGATCTGATCCTTCTTTTTGGCGTTTTTGTTGGGATCTTTATTAGCACAACGGAAACAGCCCATCTCTCCTTCTGATGAGAAGAAGTGAGAGAGAGAGATGGGACAAGAGGAGAGTGAAACAGAAACGAGAGAGAAAGGAGAGAACTAGTATGAGACTAGAAAAGGAGAGAAAAGAAAAGAAAAAAGAAAAAAAAAACAAAATAAAGGACAAAAATGGTACCAAATACAATACACGGTTTTGGTTTGATACAACGGACTACAAGGACACGTGTTCTACGGCCATATATATACGGGTCGGATTACTCCAAGTATAAACCCGAGTTCAGTTGACTAGCGTGTTTGTTTTCACGGCTTATTTTCTCTTTGACACCCAAAGTTCACTCATTTGTTCACTTTGATATTCTAAAGTATTCCTAAGGGTGTGTTTGACAAAACCATCAAAACTGGGCCAGAATTTTGAGATAAACTAGTTTTTTTCATTTAAATAAGGGAGGGGTGGTTTTAAAAAAAAATCAGTTTTAAACCTATTTTTCAGCTTAAACAAAAGTGGGTCAGAACCGACCTAGTTTTTGCTAGAGGTGGTTCTCCAGCTATATTTTAATTTTCAATTTTTTTAATAAACTCCCAGTAATTTTCAATATCAAATGACCCCATCAAGAACTTTAAAAAATCACTCAACAACTGCAATAACATTCATATAAATAAGGAAAGTCTTTGGATTAAGTGGATTCATGGCTCATACTTAAGCAATAATGATGTCTGGCATGTCAAAGCAAAAAGTAGTGATTCATGGATGTGGAAAAGCATCTTGAAAGTAAGAGATAAAGCATTGAGAACTTATGGTGGAGTTGAGAATCTGAAGAATCTTATTCAAAATTGTGACAGGAACTCAAAAATACAGCTCTCAAAGCTGTATTCTGCTATTTCCCCTACTGTATCAGCTGTTTCATGGCACAAAACAGTTTGGGATAATTCTAACATGCCCAAACATTCTTTTATCAGCTGGCTTGCAGTTCAAGACCGATTACTCACACAAGATAGACTGTTTAAGAGGAATATTGTGAGTGTTAATTCCTGTTGCTGGTGTTCGGGTTCAGAGAGCAGAGATCATCTTTTTTTCGATTGCTTCTACTCAAGGGATGTTTGGTGCATGGTGATGAATTGGTTACAATTTAGATGGCAATCTACCAGCTGGAATCAGATTATCAACTGGTATTGTCATCGTTTGAGGGGAAATGGCTTTAAACAAAAAGTTAAGAAAATGGCTCTCACCTCTACAATCTATTACATTTGGTGCCAAAGGAACTTCAGGATCTTCAGACAAGAAGATAAGCCAGCATCTCAATTGTTTAAAGAGATTAAATTCAACCTACTAACAGTCATCCTCAATGGTCCTCATTCGGATGAAGATAAGAAGTGGATGTGCACACTGTAAATTCTAGTAAACAGTGGTATTTGTTTGTAATCTCAGTCTCTCTGAGAACTTGTTGTGCATAACATTCTTCATTTGGAAATGAATAAAGTTTCATTAACCAAAAAAAAAAAAACTTTCAAAAACACGCTAAACCCACCCAATTCCCCCAAAAAAAATCACCAAATCACAATAAACTCTTAATAAATTTGGAATTGCAAAACATTTCCAATAAAGTTTACATTTTACAAATATCCCCTATATAGAACTAGAAAACAACATAAAAAATCATATTGTAGGACAATTTAATCAAAAGAAAAAAATGATTAGGGTTTGTGACCTAAAGCTAACCGAGCAAGAGGAAAATGAACCACAAAAAATGAGAATTTCTATTTTTAGGGTTAAAACTATAAAAAGTTCATATATTATTTTCTCTTTAATAATTTAAGGAGTATTTTGGTCTTTTTAACTCACATGGGTGGCATGTGCCATGTCAAATGTAATGATATTAACTTTGGGGGTTTTCTACAAAAGCTATTGTGGGCTCAATGTGATTTTAGAAGTTATAAGGGGTTTAGTGTGATTTTGAAAGTTGTTAAAGGTTTAGTGTGGTTTTTTTTAAGTTTTTGGGGGATTTAGTGTGATGTTAAAAGTTATTGGGAGTTTACTACAAAATGCTAAAAGTAAAAAATAAAGTAGGGGACCAATTTCATTACGAAGCCCAGCACAAGGATCAAATTGAGAAAAAATAAAGTATAGTGACCAATTTAACTATGAAGCCCTAGCATAAGGACTAATTTGGCCTTTTAGCCTATTTTTAAATATTTTTATACCCGAAGGTACTGTTTGGCAAAGGGTAAGTAAGGAGTTAAGAAGACTTAACCCCTTCTTAACCCGACAAACACAAAAAATCTATATAAGCGTTAAAGTGAGTTAATCCTCCATAATTTGTCAAACATAAAAAATATAGAAGGGTTAAACTAACCCTTCTAGAAGGATTAAAATGAGTTAACCCCTCAAAATGATGGGTTTACTAATACTCCTATTTAGAAGGATTAAGAGTTAATCATTCTAATTATAAAGAAAATAATCAAAATCCTTGTTATTCCCAAACACTACAAATGATCATAATGGTTAAAATAAAACTTTTATAACGGGTTAATAATTTAGTCTTTCAGATTATCCAATGGACTAACTATGTTAATATTTCTCCTTAATCTCTCTTCCTTAACCCTTTGCCAAACGGGACCAGAGGTTTTAATTCTACTAGTTTTTACACACGTGCAATGCACGTGATTTAATACCATGATTAAGTATTTTTGGCAGTTTGTGCTCATTTTTTTCTTTAAACTTTTACATCCCGATTATTCCCAATTTAAATTTTCATGTTGATATTTGAATTGACAAAAAACAAATATAATTTAAAAATAATTTAAATTTTCATATTATTTTTGACCGATATGAAACTAAGCTTTATTTGAGAAAGTATAACATTGCAAAGTGAAAAATATTAAAATAGTGTTATACAAGGAAGGTGAATATTTAAAACCAATATAACAAAATGATTGATTTAAAGTATGTTAAAACGATGCAAAAGAGATTATGATGTTTATTCCTAATCATTGATAGACTTCATAAAAAATATAAATTAAAGATTAATGCTAACTCTAGTATACTTTTATATGATAAAAACATCAACATAAGAATATAAAAGTACTGAAAAAAATTCATGAAACTCTCTTTTAAAGATTCCTAATTTCACTCAAAATAATTAAACTATTCTATAAAATATTCATAAAATATTGTTTTTATTTCTTCTATTTTATTTTTTATTGAGTTAAGATCAATCCTTCTTCAGGTTTATCATTTATTATTTCTCGGACAATTCTAGAGTATTGTCTTCATCATCTACATCAATTGTGACATCAGGCTAATTTTGTATTTTTTATGCTATTATCTTTCCTAGGCTCGTTAATTTTTTATCATCTCATTTAACTTTACAAAGAAGTCAAATGTACTTATGATGTTCAACACAAACTGCTCAAAATATAGACTTTGATTTTTTTTCTATTTCAATGAGAATAAATATTAATTTCATATATATAAAATTCTTTGTGTTCCTAATTTATTACTTAAATAAATTAGAAGCTATCTCTTTATTTTCCTCTAAAATGAATTCTTCTGATGTGCATCCAATAAGAATTTCTGTTATTTCAATAATATTACCTTTGCTCTATCCCTGTCATTTTCCATAAAGATCTAAACTAAATACCTGCATTATTCATTACCAATTTCTCTTAGATTATAATATTAATATTTAATTTGAAGAACACAGTATGGAATTTATGAATACTTACTAATTTTTCTTATGTCTTCCATGGAGATTTTTTCTTTGATTAGGATAAAGTTATTAAATTATTTTTTAATGTAACTCATTCAGTGCTTCATTAATAGATATGTCTTATGTTAATGCCAATTCAAGTGATTCATTGACGTTTTCTGAATTTTAGATTTATTTCCATCACTTTCCCATTTGCAATGGAAATAACTCAATTCTTTTAAAGTTATCTCTAAATATTCTAATAGTTTCTCCATATGTAATTCCTTGTATTCTTTTACCCTATAAATATTATTAACGTCAAAGATTAAAGTTTCTAAATTAAAATCAATTAATGCTAAGGTATAATATTATAGTGTTTTATCATTTCTATGGATTTAAACATCTATCAATTAATGTTACGAATGTATTTTGGCTACCCCAACTTATTACTAAAATTATATGAAATTACTTTAATTTATATAGTGCCGATAATTTTTAATCTATAATATTTATATATATATATATGAAAAATACCAAACAATTACACTTTTCTTTGCCAAGTTTTAAAATTTTAGCCCATTTTTGTGGTTTTGAACTTTAAGGGTGTGATTTATAATTTTTAAAATTTTGAAAGAATTTTTAAAAAAAATTACTTTTAAGTTTGGTAGTTGTAAATTCTATGTTATATGTGTTGGTGGTAATTTTTTAAATGTTAGTATATTTCTTGTAACTCTAAAATTTTGAGGGTGCCTTTTGTAATTATTAAAACTATAGATTAATTTTAAAAAATATTAAATTTCAGTGGTCTACCAATCGACAAATTTGATGTGTGCTAGTTAACAATTTTGAAAATTTAGAGTTTTTTTTACGATTTTTAAATTTTGAAGGAGTTTTTTAAAAATTTTGAGGTCAATTTTGGCAAATTTTAATTTTTAGGTGTCTAAGAGTAATATCTTGAATTCATCTTATTTTATTTACAAATTTTAGAATTTTAGGGTGGCTTTTTATAATTTGAACTTTTGAAGGTGTTTCTATAATTTTTGAGATATTGAGGGTGTTAATTAAAAAATTTAAATTTAAATGTTAAAAATTTTAGGTGTATCATGGTAATCTCTTGAATTCATCTGTGTTGTCTGTAAGTTTTAAAATTTTAGAATTTTAATGTGCTTGTCTGTAATTTAAACTTTTGAGGGTGTTTCTATAATTTTTGAGACATTGAGGTGTTAACTGTAAATTTTAAATTCTTTACAAACTGATGTTAATTTTTTAATTTTATGTTTTTTTATTTTAAGTTTTAAGACATTTGGATGAGTTTTATAATTTTAAACTTTTCAGGGTCTTTTTTGCAATTTTAAAACTTTATATGATTTTTTTGCAATACTTCAGGTATTATAATATGTTATCTACTTGTAATTTCTTTAT